TGGCCTATGCTCCAGCTCCTGCTTCCAGGTTCCTGCCCTGAGTTCCTACCTTGGGCTCCATGATGAACTGTGACCTTGGAAATGTAAGACAAATAAACCCTTTCCTCCCCAAGTTGGTAGTGGTCAGAGTGTTTTGTCACAGCAATGAAGAAACAAACCAGAACAGAAACACATGTGTATCATAGTGTCAACTGTATTAAAAATGAATTTTTCTGTATGACACTGTACTTTAACAATGAAATGGAGATCTTTTTAAAGTTTAAAACTTTATTTAATTTTATGTCTTATAGGGGTTATACGGAGTACAATATTGTATAACTGTATCAATTCAACGGTAAACCTAAAAATTTACAGTCAGTTTTGAAAGAGATGCATCTTAGCTCTGGAAATTGTTATTGAATATGTCAGTGCTGTTGTAATGAAATGTTTCTTCTGTTTGTGTGGTTATTAAATAAATTTTTTTTAAAAAAAGGCCCAGAACTCTTCCTGGTTTCTGTGCTTGCTAATATTCCAGGCCTTGTTCTCACTGTTCAGGGATAACACGTCTTCACCTACAGGAATCAGAGAACCAAGAAAAACTAATGTTACCTACAGTAAAGGCCTGGGGTTACTCAAGGAAAAAGGTTTAAGAAAGGAGGACGAGAGAGAGAGAGAGAGAGAGAGAGAGAGAGAGAGAGGAAGAAGAAGGAGGAGGAGGAGGAGGAGAGCAGTGAGAAGAAGAGGAGAAGTGAGAGGAAGCACAGCCAGAAGCAGGGCAGAGGAAGAGGAAATGAAGATCAAGAAGCCGCCTCAGCAGAAAGAGGCGAGAAGTTCCACTGTGTTCATGCCAATGCCGAGAGTGCTCCTTACCCAGTGCTCTCCAGATCAAACAGAAGGCCAGGGTGAAGCAGACGAAAGCCCAGTTCCACTCATGGTTCTTCCCAACAGTGGACACACCCATGAAGATGAAGATCAAGGTCTCACTGACGCTGCTCAGCATCTTCATGAAATACTTGATGGTTGTGTAAGACTTCTGCGATACATTTTCTTCTACATACTTATTCATAGTCATGGCACACGCAGTGATTCTGAAAGGGAAGAGGCAGCTTCTATTTAAACACGGCCAAGATCCCAATCAGAATACCAGAGTCAGCTCCTAGACACTACATAATTATTCTCCCTTCTACTTGGGGCTGATTGATTTTTATGAGTGACTGCTATTTGCATGCAAACTTTGAACATCTTACTCTCTCTGAAGGTCTTCATTGATACCCAAGGTTTGCGGTACTCTGCTCCATTCAGCTCTCCAGTCCCCTCAGCTGGCTTATTCCAGATCTAGTTCATGGTCACCAGCACCATTAACTCTCTTTGAGCGCCCCAAATAAAACAAATTCAAAATAGATTTCCACCTGCACACACTAGATTCCTTCATTATCTAACAATCCTAAACCATCACATAAAAGCCTACACCTGGTGCTAGAGTTGCACTGGGCTCCTCTCCACATCACACTTCCTTACCACATCCCTCTCCATATAGCTGAATGCCAGTCATTTTCAATTATTCCTCCTGAATATTCCCTGGACCACTGAGCCTTTTCCTCATCACCTTGCCTTAGTTCTGGATCTCATTTCCACTTCCCAATTGGGTCTACTTCTGTGAAATTCAAAATGTATCAATAGGCTCCAAATAACTTCTAAGTGAAGTAAGTTCCTTTGTTTCTTTGTATTAGTCTTTTCCTCCCAGACCTTTGGGGCCACACTGCTCTTCACTTCCACTAACGTAGTAACTGTTTTGACATGGCCTTTACACACTGTGGACGAAGATAAAGCGTATGGTACCACAAGCTCTGCCCACCTTCGTCACTGGACCGTAGCAGTTTCACATCCTGCACTCTTTCCACCTGGCACACATTTTAGGCCTTTATGGCTATCATTTGCCAAACATGCCTTCATTCCTGACGTTTTTCCACTTTCCTGGTCATACAGGTTCCTGCCTGTTCGGAATATCACCCCCAACCAACTCAAATGCCACCCAAGGAGGGAAGTTTAGCAGGATCTAGCATACTCTAAGACACATCTGGAGTCACAGTTACCAGAAAGTACCAAAAGACTTCATTACCAGAAGATGCTGAAGGGTGAAACAGGGAGATGGGATTTTTACTAAGCCTCCCTACCTTACACTGAGTGAGAACCAAGCCATAAATCAGCTGTGAATCATGACAGATCTGTTTCCCATGTTCCTAAAACTCTAGAGCCACACTGGCACTGAGTGCCCTGCCCCTCTTCCTGGGCAGCATGGTCCTCCTCACCCTAAGATTTCTCCCATCCTAAGGAAACCCTCTGTAGGTCTGGGAGAATGTTGCATACCTTAGTTACTCCAAGATTAGACCTAACAAGTAACCACAAGCCTTTCTTTGCAAGGAACAGACCTGTTTGTCACACAAACAACACATGTATTTATTTTGTGCCCCATATTAAAACAAAACACTCCACCAACACAAGGGCCATGCAATGACATTGCTGCCAGAATAAGAAAGCATGTCTTTTAGATTTATATGGGTGAAGAAGGTATAATTTATGTGGTTTCCAAAAGAAAGAAAGGCCTTATTAAATGGGCTAATAAAAGTGAGCAGGAACAACACATTGCACAGCCTTTGAATAGCTGAGGGCTTATACAATAATAGTTGATGTTTATAGACCCTTTCCTATGAGCCAGGTACTGAGTAGATGCTTTGTATGGTTTATATCAGTTAAACCTCATAACATGTTTATGAGGCAAGTTCTATTATCATTCTCACTTTTATTAAACGGGAGAACAAAGGTAGACTTAAGATTACACAGCTGGTAAGTGGTGCCAGGATGCTTATCCAGGAAGTCTGTCTGATTCAAATTCAGTGCTGTGGCAGACCTTACCCTCACCCTGGGGAGTTCTGAGTGAGCCCAGTGGTCCTACGTGAGAGAGGATTTCTATGCCCTGCCAAGCCCTACTTCCTCTGTTGTCAAGCACACAGATCTACGTATTTGCTTTCTATGGCTCCTGTAAAGAATTAGCACAATTTCAATGACTTCAGACTCTGGTTTATCATGTAGAAGTCAATCAGAAGTCATTTTCACTGCTAAAATCAAGATGTTGACAGAGCTATGTTCCTCGTGTGCTCTAGCTTTTAAAGGCTGCTTACAATCCCTGGCTTATGGCCACATCACTCTGTCCCTCACGTCCCCTTGATTCTGACCCTCCTAAAGGTCCTTGCAATTACATCAAGTCTACCCAATAATCCATTTCAATCACCTCATCTTAAGAATCCAATCGCATTGCATCTGCAAAGTCCTGCTTGTTCTATAAGGTAAGTTATTAGCAATTTCTATAAATTAACAGGCAGATATCTTTGAGGGTACCAGGTCAATCACATTTCAGAAAATGTACATCTTCCATACTTTGGCTTAATTTGGCAGGGGAAGAGGTAACTGTGGATTGAATGTAGGGCTTTTTCCATGCTAGGCAAACACTCTACCACTGTGCTTCATCTCCTGCACTCTTCCTACATTTATTTTGAAACAAAGTCTCACTAAGTTTGACCTTGAACTTTCTCTATTGCCTAAGCCAGTCTTGAACCTGAAGTGCCCCTGTCTTAGCCTCTGGAGTAGCTGAGTTTTCAGACCTGCACTACTATGCCTAGCTAACTTTTAGAAATTATGATTTCCTAGTAAAAATAATGAGAGCAAAAGTGTTACTAAAATTATCAAGAATCTGGATAGTAACGGGATTTATAGAGAGGCGCACACAGCAACAAGAACTAATGAGCCTTTCTTAAGTGTAAAAAGTAGAAAACCAGCAAGACATATATTTTATGATGGTTGTATTCCTTCTTAAAGTATTCTAATCCTATGTAAGGATGCTTCAAAATTAAGGACATGTTTAAATTTATAGACAAATATGGAGAATAATAAATACCACCTACTCATTACCCATTTTTTTCCAGTCACTTTTATTTGAAAACTAAATCACCATTAGCTATAGAGCTGAAACTCCTTGGTTCTTTCTGTAAAAAATCTTTTATTTATTTATTTTTATTCTTTTTTATGTATATGAGTGTTATGCCTGCATGTGTGTAAGTGCACCAGTGTTGTACAATGTCTGTGAGGTCAGAGGAAGGCATTGGATTCCCCTGGAAGTGGAGCTATGGATGGTTGTTAGCTGCCAAGTGGGTGCTGGGAATCAAACCTGGGTCCTCTGTAAGAGCAGTCAATGCTCTTAACTGCTGAGCCATCTCTCCAGCCCCAAGCACCTTGGTTCTTTAGCCTAGATTTGTTTCCTTCACTCCTTGGCTTTGGAATTTTTCACTTATCATCTGAAAAACAATTTTTTGCAAGGCTGGAAACAACACTGGTACATGCCTTCTGACCTGTGCTACCTTATTACACAGGCAGTAAGTGAATGATTAAGGCCAAATGAATGTTTAGCTCACTGTGGGGAGAAACTCAACAAATGTCATCCAGAGGTGATATAAAACATAGCTTTGGTGTAGGAATGACAAATGAATTATTTTCCACCAGTTATGCCATTCACACAACACCAGGAGAGATGCTGCTGCTGGCCAGACCCCTGATTGGAACTGAATGGTTTCCCTACCAGCATCACTTCACGAGGGAAACACATTCAGTGGGTACTATAGGCCTGGTACTCAGAAGCACTCAGGAAGTATGTGCTCATCTATCATACCAATATGTGTGAGGGGCTGGAGCAAAGGTTCCAGATATTGCCATTCTGGTCTTTCATGTAAGCTCAATGCACATGATCACTCAAGCAGAAGCCTGAAGGTATTTCCATTGCAAAGAGATTTTGAGGTAATGGTACACTGTGACTGGAAATCCAACAACTTCACCAGCAGCAATAAATGTGCTGGAAGTTCATGGAAGGAAATTGTTAGTTCTACCACAGAAAAACGTACTTTGTGCAAAATCTTCATCAATAAATAAAAGGTCACCAAGAAAAAAAAAGAAGAGGGATGTATATTTGTCCCTCAGTGTCTGCAGAAGTGCATTTCTAGTAGCCCCATGCAAATACTAAACTACAGTGACACTTAAGTCACTTAAATAAAATGACAGTGTCTAACACAACCGCAGCTTATCCCCCGGTACATTTTAAACCATCTCTGGGTGACTTATAATTCTTACTACAATATAAACACTAAGTGTTCATTATAATCTATTTCACAGGGAATAGTGACAAGGAAAAGTCTACACATTCAGTACAGATGCAATCATTTTTCCAAATAATTTTGATTTGTGATTGGTTGAGTCCATGCAAGGTGAACTCATAGAGATGACTGTAATTCAAGAAAAAAAAAAAAAAGGTTGGACATGCACAAAGGCTTGAAAGAAAGAGGGAGGTTGGCAAGGTCAGGAAACCACTGAATGATTCTGCTAGCCAGAAGAGAGAATGTGTAATCACATCATACCATCAAGAAGCCATGAAAGAAGGAGGGGGTCAAAGAACAAGTTATACCTAATGCCAGGAGCTTCAACTGGATTCTGTAAGCGGGGGAGAAAATAGGAAAATACATCTTTTAATGATAACTGCCCCTAATCTCTACCATTTCTATTTCTATTTCTCCTAAACCCAACTGGAAAGTATTAGGAAAGAGAAAAGCACCTCCTTGCTTCGTATATTGTCTAGCATGTCATTAACACATCTCAAATCAGATGCTTTCCTATTGCTGTGACAAGCAAAAGAAATTTGGGGAAGCAATAAGTTTATTTTGTCTTACAGGTCACAGTCCATCTTTGAGGGAAGTCAGGGCAGGATCTTGAAGCAGAAACCATGGAGGTACGCTAATTGCTGGTTTGCTGTCTGGCTTGCAAACAGGCTCATACTTAGCTAGCTTTGTATGTATCTCAGGACCACCTGCCTAAGGGTGGTACCACCCCTAGTGGATTGGGCCTTCCTGTATCAATTAACAATCAAGACAATGACCCACAGACATGCCCTCAGACCAATCCAATATAAGCAATTTCTGAATCAAGGCTTTCATCTCAGATGATTCAAGGCTGTGTCAGGTTGACAATTAAAGCTAATTAGGACACTCAC